ATGATGATGTTAATGTTAATGTTAATGTTAATGTTAATGTTAATGTTAATGTTAATGTTAATGTTAATGTTAATGTTAATGTTAATGTTAATCTTAATGTTGATGTCGATGTTAACAATGGTGTTGATGCTAATAATAACAGCAATTATTCAAACGCATTCCGCCCTTTCTCACCTGAAGTTCTCCTGCGGCAGCCGCGCCACACTCGGGTTGATGGAGTCCGTCTCAGGGTCGAGCTGGTTCACGAAGGTTCTGTGGTTCCTCCTCATGAAGTCCAGGATGTTCCCGAAGCGGCAATATTCCACGAGGATCATCAGCTCCCCTGCAATTATATCCATTAACCCATCACTTATTACCCATTAACTCATCACTTGTTACCCATTAACCCATCACACATTAACCCATCACCAATTAACTCATCAACTCTTCTTCTTCTTCTTCTTCTTCTTCTTCTCCTCCTCCTCCTCCTCCTCCTCCTCCTTCTTTGATCATCAACGTGTGTTATGCCTATAGAGAGAGAATATCGTGTATCGTGTATCCTGAGAAATAGAATAGAATAAAATAAAAACACACAGCTATAAAAGAAAACTAAAGAGAAAAAAAAAACACGGTATAAACTACACACCTACGAACGAACTAAACCTCAAAAAATACAAAACACAGTAAAGGGTAGAATCTCGGAAAGGCTTACCCTTTGTGTGCAAGTTCTTGGTGCACGCGGCCACCAGGTTGACGATGTTGACGTGCTGTCCAATGTGGATGAGGATCTTGAGCTCCGATTGCAAGGCGTTGAGTTGCAAATTGTCCTTGCGAGATTTCACCATCTTGACAGCCACGGTGACAGGGGCGGTGTCAGTGTCCGGAATCTCCAGTTGTGCTCTGTACACGCGCCCAAATGCACCGCAGCCAAGTAACTTGTCTGGACAGGCGGGGGAAATTCTTATCATTGAGGTTATCGTTATCATTAACCTTTTCTTTCTTTCTTAAAAATTGTAATTATGATTATAATGTTACTATGATTATTGTTATTATTGTAATCATTACTATCATTATTAAGAGTATTATTATCATTATTATTAATAATAATATTATTACCATTATCATTATTATTAATAATAATATTATTATCATTATCATCATTATTAATAATAATATCACCATTATCATTACTATTATCATAATTATCAAGGGTATTTAGATAATCTCATGGGTCCAGTAATCCTCTAAGTATCCTGACTGCCTAACCTTGGTGTCTCTTATCTTTTATCTGAGCCAATATTTCACAATTGCTTATAATGTCCGTATTACCCTCTACCTTTTTTTCCACATAGCCTACATATGGGGGAGTCTGCAGCCTTGTCACTTTTGTTCTTTGCATACTTGGATCTGAGGGCCTGTTCTTGAGCAGATTACTGGCTCTGTCTCTATAGTCCTGCTTTTCTCTTCTGTTTCCATGTTTTTTTTTCGCAATCTGTTGTTCTATCATCCATATCCCTAATATTTTGTCCATACATCTTCACTTTCTTTCTTGGAAATCGTCCTTCCTTACACAGCCTACGATTTCCAATACTTTTATTTCCTTGATTAGTTTTAACAGATTTTCGCTGGAGTTTCCAAGAGTTTCTCAGATTGTTTTCTTCCCTTGCTGTACATTGTTCACATCCGACTAATCTTGTACAACCCTTCGCTCTTGGCAAATTCAGTCTATCTGTGTCATTCTTTGGATGGAATTCCCTATGCATGCTCAGCATTTTACTCGTCTCCCCGTCTAGCATCTGGAGCTCACTCGGGAGTCACCATAGTGTTCCTCCACTGTGCTGAACACGTGTTTGTTGTTGTGATTTTGTTTTTCCCATTTCATTTGAATAAAAGGCCTAACTTCAACCTTCATCTGCACTCTGTTGAATGCTTCCTTTATTCCCCTTTCCCTGATCTTATCAGTTTCTAACATGCATACATATTCATACCCCTTTTCGTTTATCACCCTCATGACGCCTACATTAAATAAATGTATTCTCCAAGCCGTTCCTAATTTACCATGCCTCCGTCCTTACTGAAAATATGCACCGTTTGCGCCAGAGAATCTAACTGTTCAAGATGCTTCCCGAATAGTTTCAGGCCATCCATGAACAGAAAGCGGTTAAATTTGAAGCGGTTTTTGCTCCACTCGCATCCAGCGGCCGCTTTCTTCAATACCATTAGCAGTAACACCACGCACAATACAGAAATCAAAGGGGAGAGACTGCCACCTTGAAACATCCCTCGTATTTGCACGTCATCCAAAGAATTACCGCAAGCCCGTCAGTTCCGTCCTCCACTTCTCTATACTGCGTAATATGAAGACCTTAACGTTGCTTGCTATTCGTCATCATCATCCTCACCATCATCATCATTATTATTGTTATTATTATTATTATTATTATTATTATCATTATTATTATTATTACTACTACTACTACTACTATCATTGTTATTACCATTATTATTGTCATTTTCATTA